CTTCTGCGGACTTTGGGCTGGTGGAGTCGCTGTGCAAGGTCTGACAGACGATGTGCGAACCCTCTAGGGGTGTTGGGCTGGTGGGAAGGCGGTGTTTGCAGTGCGGAGCAAGTTTTGAAAGCGAAGCAAGATGAGAGCAATCCCTTTGCGGACCTTGGGCTGGTTGGGGAGACTTTGGGTTGTAGTTGCTCTAACTGTTGTTGCGGAGAGTACGTTTCAATCGTGAGTCATGTCTGAGTGGTGGGAGTGTGTTTCGGCTGGTCAACCTTTTAAGTCTGAAGTCGGCCCAACATATCCTATGGTTTACGGTTTGCGTTCTGGCTCTCAGCAAGATAGACAGGTCGCCGAAGTTCGCAGAGGGCGCCTGCCACGATTTCCACAGACCCTGTGTTTGAAAATGCTGCGATTGCCACAAAACATACAGCCTTAGCACAAAACGTGCTGCGTCTGCCACGAAACCTGCATGCCAACCTCACAGAACACTTCACAGGCCACGGAACCAAGCCGCCAACGCGCAAGTCAGAAAATCGGCGCGCCTTTTCGCGACAACTGCCATGGTTTCAGAGCTCAGGCTGTCCAAGCGCGGTGTCCTGACTGGACACGGCCACGCTCCCCGCATAGCGGTCCTGCCATCAAAAACAGACTACGCCGCGTCGCAGCGCGAACTTCCCCGCATCACAGCCCTGCCATCAAAAAACCACACCCATGTGGCCCTGCCATCAAAAACTCACTTTCGCTTGAAACACAATACCAAAAGTTAATTGGACATGGCTCCCTTTATTGGTACAGTGACAATATAATTTCGGGCCTGAAGCAAAGCTAGAGATGCCAAGCAGTTTCAACCTTTCATCCCAGGAGGGCAGTTGCTACCGGGCTCGAGAACCAGCAGACATGAGCACGGTTGTATCGCGACAGTTGGACTCGGTTGGTCTGTGGGTCCGGGATTGAAGGCATGTTCACCCTTTTGAGCAGGAATCACGTTGGCTAACCCTTGCTTGTCAACTAGCCGGATTTGCCCCCGAGAACTTCCCTCATGCCTGCAGCTTTTGAAACGCTATGACGTGCGCGCAGAGTTGTGCACGTCCGTGGCATGTAGAACCGCAACGGCGCTTTCACAAAATGTTTTCACACCAGCTCAGCAAACGCCTCGTTTGGCTCGGGACTCATCACATAGAAATGGATAGCATTTGGCTGGAGCCTTTTCCTTTTTGGGGCTGAAGTAGCGTCGGGAGGTGTCACCATCTTGATAAATCTTCGCTCAGTGCGTGCCCTGCACGAAACTCTGTTACAAGTTGTTGCGTAGGCACAGTCGCAGGCCGTCAAAGACGACGCTTGCATTTTGCCGCTTCCGGTTTCAAGTGCTCGAGCATCATGAATCAGCCAGAGGTACCACGCATTGAACGTCGGAAGAGGCGCTTGGCTATGGTCCACACAGCACTTCCTGTGCTCGGACTTTCAAAATGAAAGTTCTTTCCACAAGAATGTGTGACGGCAGCCCAATTCAAATTTGGTTGCTGTAGCTGCTTCTCGTAACAAAATCAGGGCAAGGAATGAATTTGCCCGGCAGGTATTCGCAGCAAATATTGATGTGCCTGCAGGTGTAAGAGATCCTTTGTGGGGCAAGTTGGCCAAACCCATCAGATGTTTCACCAGGGCTAGCTGGGATCCCGAAGCTTCAAGGCCGATGCCCACATTGCCCACCTGCGGGCCCAAACCGGTGCCTAAAACGAGGATCTTCCGGACCTCGACCCGCATTAGACAGTTCTACACGGCGAAAACAGGGGGCACCCCCGCCCGCCCCAGAGACGACAGCCGGGCGGCCCAAGATCCCATGCAATGAGGTGGCCTATCGTAAAGGGCGCACCCTGGAAGATATGGTTTACCTTCTCAACTAGTAGTGGTGGCTAGAGACAGGGATCTGCAGTCCAAGCAGCCGGGGTGAGTGTGGCTCGTGCAGTTTAACAGTGGTTTGTTTAGAACTGAAAAACCTGAGCCGTTATCGGACCAGTTGGGTGAATGCATACTGCTTCCTGTGAGGGTAAGGCTTACCGCAAGGGCTGGTCCCACCCTTGGTGGTCACGGAAATGAAGCAAATGCAAAAAGAAGTGTTCCGCCAGGTTTTGTACAGCATGGCTCAGGGGTTCAGCTTCCTTTGCTTTGTTTCAATGGAGCTGCGCTTGGCCTTGGCGCAGGGGAAGCGGCCTTCTGTTGGACTTAGCCGATTTAGTGAAAGATGCTGGGGTGTCCTAGTGGACGTGAGTGTTACAGGATCAATCGTTGTCAATGGCAACCATGGATTGAATCCAGCGTTCTCGTTTTGTGGGATGTCATGGACCGGCGCCGCTGGATGCACTCAGGTGCAGCCGGCTGCAAACGGAGGCGTTTGATCGGCGCCCAAACTGCCGAAAGGCTCAAACACGCTCAAACCACAGATGTTACAACACCCAACTTGGGCCATCCGGAGGACGCACAGACTCGCAGGTTCCCAGTCTCGTGTGAGCCGTTGCCAACGTAGGAAAGGGTACAATTGTCAAATGTATGTTCATAGCCAGCCGGCCAAATAGAACACCATTCACACTTTCTCATACCTGAATTGGCCAAACTTGGCTAACTTCTAGAGAATAAGGACTGTGGCAACATGTTTCTGGCAGGGCTCTTGAGTCAGCAAGCTTGCCTTGTTGTATTTTCTTCGGTTTCCTAAGCGCCGCGGGGCGTGCCCCGGAGCACGCTGCGGGCTGCGCATGCGGCGCGCTCGGCGCTGTGTGGGTCTCGTAGCTGAATTGGACAGCCACGCTGCAGGGATGTGGCCAAGAACGAAAGGAAAGCAACGAGATGGCAAGAGCAAGAAAAGCCACCGCCCAGCACATGAGATAGGATAGATATCGCATACAAAACGGTAACACGCGCAAATAAGCAGAGCTGCAAGCAAAAGACTGCAAGAGCACATGCAGAAACAGCATGGATAAGCAAGGCTCGATGCACACATGCTACCTGCTAAGTGGGTAAAGCAGAAACCGGCTGTTTGTGATGAATGTATAGCCATGATAGCGCTGATGCCGTAAGTGCCTTGGTTCGCCAGCGACAGTAGGCCAGTACCCCGCAACTGGATTCTGCATATTCCTTCGGGTTGTAGCGGGGCATGGATATAGCAGGTGCAAACCAAAAAAGGGTTTGAGGATTGCGAGCTGGAGTTGGGGCCAAGGCTTTTGTGCTTTGGCACTGCCTTCCGTCTTTGTGGGCCTCGGCACTGGCCTCAGATGCAAAAGAGCAAGCTGGCCTCAATTGCTGCCACATGTGGAGAGGCTTGTCGCACGCCTTTTTATGTCAAGCTGGAATTGATCCGCGTGCAAAGGCCCAGAGCATTCCGGATCTAGGACAACCTTCGAAGATGCCTAGTGAGACACCCTTCGGACTCTTCTTGTTCCAGATTGTTTGCCCGTTTTCAGAAACAGTACGGCATAAATATGAAAATTGAAGCTAGCTCCGCAGGGTCATCAGGGTCCAAGGTGGCAGGTATGCGTGCTGGTGGGTGCAAGGAGTCCGTAACAAATCCAATCGTATTTCAAGGACAGAGCCTTCAAGCTGCCCTTTGCTATCTCATAACGTGAAGTACTAGCGTTGTTGTCGGAAGGGAGCGGGCCATCCCGAGCAGAGATCACCTGGCACCGAGGAAATTTCAATGGCCTGCGCAGAGTATGTGCCCGTGCCACGGATGAGCCAAAGGAGCTGGTGGACTTGTATGGCAGCCCTGCTGGTTTCAGCCATACTTGTATACTTGTTTTCGTTCTTTAAGTCCACGCGGGTGGCCCCGCTCATCCTCAAAGAGCTGAACATTTCAAAGCACTTTCTTAATTAGAGAAGATGGATTTGCCAATATTTGCGCAACTGTGGGGGGAATTCTGGGGTGCCGCATTTGTGATCTAATGGCCTGCGGTCTTCAGGCATGAAGACTCGCGAAGTGAACGCCTTCCTAAAGGAAAAAGGAGTCTACACTGACGACTGCTTTGACACGGATTCGCCACCTGGCATGAAATAGTCCGTTGAGCCTCACATTTTTTGCAGAGCACCTCCCCCTTCGTGCTCTTTTGCAATGTCCCTGCGCACCTGCGTAGCATTCGCACAGGGGAACGGCCCTTTGCGTAAGCAGCCCTGAACATGCATCTGGCGCAGGCTTTCGGGCTTGCCTAGGCTCACAACCTTTGCTTTGCCCCGGTTAAAACTCGACAGAAAACAAGAAGGCACTGCTTGATGCTGCAAAATAGGTGGTGTGTGCAGAGTTTGGTGGAACATGAGGTTCGTCTCTTGTGCTGCGGCATCAGTCTGTTTGGGTTGGGCTGTGCAGGTTGCTGAGACGTGCAGCATCGACGGTGGATAGCTGGGCAAGTGTTGGGGGCGCAAGCAGTGCACAGAATACAGAGAGCACGGGGAACATGGAGGGCGCAGGGCCACTTGGACTAGCAACTGTGGATTGCCAGAATGAGCTATGTTGTGTATTTTTTTTGCCTGTTTGAATTGGTTCGGGTTACAGGGTTCAAGGCAGAAGCCCATCTGAGGCCAGCGCAGGACGGTGAGGTGGAGAAAGCTTGGCAGAGGCACGGGGGCACGGGGAAACGCTGTGGCGCTGGGCACGGCCTCAGGCTGTGCGACGCATGGCCCGGACAAGTGCCACGAGAGCCATAGATGCAAAAGCATTGTGTTGGCATCACTCGTGCTGACAAGGGTCAGGTGGCTGAGTAGGTTGACCAAAAATATTGACATACGGTGGGTAACAGTAGGACATTCCAAAAAAAAGCTGCAGGCCGTCCAGCCCACCCATGAGCCACTGGCCCGTGGAATTGCTGTTTGTGGAAACGGGCCTCCTCTGAGGAGCTTGGAGCATCAAATGCCGACAAGTGCGTGCCAGGACAGCAAATAAGCGGACTTACACTTCCTGCATCCCCCCCCCCGCGCCCCACAGCTTTAAGTTGTGCTCCAAAATGCAGTAGAGTAAATAAACTCGGAAGAGTCCGAATGAGATTATCCACTTGGAAACAAACAAAAATCAATCTGGGCTGGAAAGATTCTGAAAACAGAATGACCATCACATCCCCGCTTCTTTCAATCACTTTGGTTTGTATACTTGTTCGTTTGTCATTCGGGCCACGGCCGGTTTTGCCAGCGCACAAAACACCCAGCTGGAGTTTCAGAGGGCCATTTGTACGCGACAGCCGTGCACTCCGGTCCTTCAAATTATTGGCCTTCAAGTAGGCTCTTCTCCACATTGGCTTCAATCAATGTCGTGGCACCAGAGTGAAGACTGCTATTTTGTTTGATGCCCCGTTCAGAGCAGGCATGACAAGATTTGTGTTAGCAAAAGCCGCCGCCTTGCTGGACCGTAGGTGGTGTTTCTGCATGGCTTCGCTGATCAAAATGCGCAGCACCGGGCTCAACATCTGCGGGCGGCTTTTTTTTCTTTTCTGAGGCGCTTGTCGGGCCTTCAGATGTTGCACCGCTTGACGGGTAGAAATCAGTCAGGTGTGTGTATTCTGAAGGGCCGGTTCTGGGCATGGCATCCCTGACTCGGCTGAGGTTCCTGGCGGACACTCTGCAGCCCTTGCTGCAGATCTCAGGTTTGCGCTTGATTCTGCCACAGGCTCCGCAGGACCTACGGGGAAGAAGAATGGCCAGGGATGACCCTGGACTAGTGGCCAACAGGGCCCGTAGCAAGGCCACTCTTGGGCGTGTTTGAGGAAGGCAGCTTGTGCAAACTCCGAGAGTCTTCACTATGCAAGAAAAAGCGCGTCTCTACCTCGTAGGGAGCACGGGTTCGAGAAGCTGCTTTTGGGTCATGGATGTGAGCTTGGGGGGCCAGCTTAAGCAACCCCACAATGGACTGCAGGAAATCCTGCACGCACTTGTTGAGTTGCATTGTCCAGTGTGTTGCCAATGATTGCCGAGCATTCTTTGCCATTAGCGGTGAGGGTCAGTTTTTTAGCGACTTGGGCCAGAGGAAAGCTAGCAGCGGCAGGAATCGCTTCAAGGACAGCAGCTGCAATCCTGGCTTGTGCCCATCAACGGGCAGTGGATCATTGATGACAAGGTGGGGGGGGGGGAGTGGGACAAGTCTGTGCTATGCTGATGAACAGGTGTTGAGACCAGCCTAGGATTTTGATGAACCGTGCTCATGGCCTACATGATCAGTTTGCCCATGGATCGCATGACGCATGCCCTTGAATCCGCCAAGCTCAGGATTCAGTATTGAGAATGTTGTTTGGTTGCACCCAAAAGCCTCCAAAGAAAGACCAGCTATATATTCTTAGTTTTATCACTTGTAGCTGCATCTTGCCAACATCTCATTGGATTTGTATTGATAATGTGCAATCATAGTTTTTTTTTGGTTTAACCACATCTAAGTTTATGCACCGTGAAATTAGTACCACATTTAATAGGCAATACAGTTGATGATGGTGCTATATTAGCATCTCAAGAAGTTCATCAACAACTATAAGGTTTATCTATCAAACCATTTCCTGTGTTATACAAAAAGGATTACCAATAATTATATATGTAGTAATATTACATCAACATCTGCTTGGTAGTTGTTTTAATGCAAGAAACGTATGACTTTGATTCTGTTGATCTTTTTGGAAAATCTAAGTAACATCTTATAATTGCACGCTTTTCATATTTGTAGATTATGACAACTTATTTTCTACTCTATTCCAATTAAATGCATTGTATCATATATCCAGTCATTGTACCTTTTAATTCTGAACAATAGATGCAGCAACAACCACCTTCAGGACATACATCGCGGTAACCAATCATGGGTTGTCAAGCATGAATGCCTGACTGCCACAGAGCGACGCGTGCAGGTCTGCAATCCAGGAAAACAAGAAGTCTAGGTGGACATATCACGGGTGCTGCCTTGTAATTTATCCACGGCACCCGTCGGTCTGCAATTTCGGCCGTTTCGGACGTGACCTTTGAGTTTGCTTCATCTTGTGCTTCATCTTGTGCTTCATCTTGTGATTGTTGCAAGCAAGTTGGGGGGCCGGAGGCATCCACACCTGGAAGGTACATGAAGGAGGTAGCTCCCTGGTGAGAACGTCCAAAGTTACTCAAAGGATCATGCTGACACGGTGAATGGCCAACACGTGGGTCGGCATGTTCATAATGTATTGTAGTGGGGGGCATTGGTAAAAAATGCACGAATTTTACCAGAGAATTAATGCGGGGTAGTTGACATGAGAAATCGGAAAGCAAGCCTTCTTGCCTGAGGTGGCCGAGCCAATCGCAGCCTATATCCACGCGATGTTGCGCAGAGAGGTTGCCAGAGGTGTCGCGTGCGCTGCACTTCAGTTTGCTAGAGGAGTTTCTGTCAGAGGCTGTCATTTTGCGCCTTCCCTCTTTGCTGGCAGACCAGACCAAGGTGCCGGCAAATCGAATCATCATCGGGGGCTTCGCACAGGCAGGGAGCATAGCCCTTCTAATACGTGACTCGCTGTGTCACTGGAAGGAGGGGTGTTCTTCCCTTTTGATAGTGTTTGTTCTTCGTTGCCCATGTTCTTGTCCAATCCTTGCTTGGTCGTTTCGTGGATCTCTTGCCCCCGGAAACAATCATCCAATTTCCTTAGCAGCCATGCTGTGAACCACGCTAAGTTGGCCCCAACTGGGAAAACCTCGAGTCAGCTGTGATCTGCACTTAAGTGGAAATACTGGAGGACACCGCACTTTGCACAAGATACAGAATCTGGGCAAATCAAAGCGCCTCACAAACGCTTTGCAACCACACCCATAATCAAAATTCCCTACCTTGAGGATTTCAGGTGAGGTGTGTGATTTGCAGCAATACTTATGATCAGATGGGGGGTTGAGGGCGCTGGCTGCGCACTTCGCGCTGCTTTGAGCTTCCCTGATGCCGCCCTCGGCGGAGCCATGGCTCTGTCGGGCTTTCTGGGTGCTCCAAATGCCACCCGGATGTCAGACTGGGGCAGGCAGGCACTTGTTGATTCTTGGGCAGTTGAATTGTAATTGAAGTTGCGTGATCTGTGCACATGGCTGATTGTCTGAGAGCAGGTTATCAGGTCTCCTTTTTCCCGAAAGCATTGCGAAGGGTTCTTCCGTGCGGAGCTCTTGGTCAACTTGCGCAGAGTAGCTTGCACAGAGTCACCAGCATGGAGATATCAGCGGCACAGTTCGTGCAAAGCACATTGCGACGAGCAGACTCGTGCAGAGCCAACTTGCACAGAGCCAGTTGCGCAGAGCCACTCGCGAAAAGTAGCTTGCGTAACTTTCACGGAGCCAAGCTGCGCAGAGCCATCTTGCACAGAGCTAAGTTGCGCGAGCGTGCTTTGCAGGAACTGTGGCCGTCGGGTAAGCTTTGCTATTGATTGCTTTTCCTTTTGCTTGTCATTCGTTTCGAGCTTTACGAGCTTTCCTCTTCTTGTTTTAACGGATGTAAATATGTGGGATCGAGCACTGCCATGTTTCCTCTCGTAGGGCGATGAGATGGAGCTCTCATGTGACCATACACATTGAGCATCGCCGCGTGCAGACACGCTCGCCGCAGCGATGTAAAAAGGTGTCTCCGCGGCTGGATGGGCACCTGGGGAAAAATGCTTTCGGGCCAATCATCCTCTAGTTGCTTCTCAGAGTGGGACAGAGGACGTGTAGTGCACCAACATTACCATTCAGCTGCCTCAATGCCAGCTGTAGCGTAAAGGAATGTAAACGGATTTCGCTGGTCAGTGCTGCAACCCTGCCTTGCCACCCTTCCCCGGTCATGCCGAGCTCTGCGAGCTGTTTTTTAGGACTCAGGCAGTGACTGTTCGTGCCTCATTCAAGGGAGGGCAGAGGGAGTGTGTTATTCAAGGCGAGCTTGAGGATTTCGAGCTTATGGTGCCCTCTTACAAGCTTTAATTCCAACACTCAGCTGCGGCGCGGTCCCGTTTTGATCGTAGTTTGTGCGCTAGGTTCGCAAGATGGGGCGCGGTTTGTTTTAGCCAAACTGCTTATGTCCAAGACGGCCAGTTTTATGATTGCTTATTTGCAACAGTCGTGCTGTTTAGCTCCGTGCTGTCCAGGCGTCCGTGGTTTGATCGGTGTTCATGCATCCAAATTTGCATGCATCTCTCACATGAGGCGCGTGGGTGGGAATCGGCCAGCCGTTTGATTCCCAAAACGGTGCACGTGGGGAGCAGCTTCCCATTTGTGCAGCATGTTTGGGCGTGTTTAGGGTTATTTACTGGTGGCTTACACTCGCAGTCACCCATACCCAGGGGGTTGGCCTCTGAGGTTGGCAGCTGAGCTGCAAGCCGCGTCCCGCCTACGCTGCAAGCTCGCCTCGGGGAGTGCTCGGGGAGCGGTTGCGATGTGGACAGGAAGCCGCGTTGTTTTAAGGGGTCTGAAATGGTTGTGCCCGCCTGTCAGATTCCGTCGGCCAAGCCTGCGGCCAAGCCTGAGGCGTCGCGGCAGCGAACCGGGGCAGTGTTTGTGTGCCACGGAAAAGATGACGAAGTGGTGCCCTTTGCAGAGGGCGAGAGGCCGGGGTTTGGGGCGCGAGACCAAGCGACTGACGCGAAGAATTGTCCGGAGAAGTGAGGAGAGTTGATCGGGCCAAAGAAAAGAATTATTGTCCAGAGCCATTCATTCCTTAACCAATTGTGGCGTTGCTGAAGCTGGCGCTTTCCAATTCGGAGGGGCAAATCGAAACGTGAGACCCCACTTCGAGAGGAAACTCGTGTGTGTGTGTGGGTGTGTGTGCGTGTGCGTGTGTGCGTGTGTGCGTGTGTCTGTGTGTGTCTGTGTGTGTCTGTGTGTGTCTATGTGTGCCTGTGTGTGTCTGTGTGTGTCTGTGTTTGTGTTTGTCTGTGTGTGTGTGTGTGTGTTTGTTTGTGTGCGTGTGTACGTGTGTGTTTGTGTGTGGGTGGGTGCGTGCGTGCGTGCGTGCGTGCGTGTGTGCGTGTGTGCGTGTGTACGTGTGTGCGTGTGTGCGTGCGTGCGTGCGTGCGTGCGTGCGTGCGTGTCCCTTCCTGTTTCCAAGGATTTTTGCATATGCCGCTTTTGGTAATTCGCTGCATGTTTCAAGAGTCATGCAAACTTTTCAACATGCAGAGGGTCGGTGTTTTTCTGTTTCCGGAGTCTATGACAATCCACCGGGCGTCATACTGACGAGCCCGACCTGGTGGATGGGGCGAAACTCCAATGTTTGCGCGCGCTTGGGCCAATGTGGTAGCTAGTGGCGCTACGATTTGAACTCAACCTTTTTCGTAGTTTGCAATTGGCCCACAGTTTCCCGAAGATTGGCTGCTTGATGACCCTTGGAGAAAATCTCTGCAGACCAGCTTTGCTGGGACACAAGTGTGTGTGTGTGTGTGTGCTTGTGCGTTTGTGCGTTTGTGTGTTTGTGTGTTTGTGTTTGTGTGCGTGTGTCTCTTTTTTTTTTGTGTGTGTGTGTGTGTGCGTGCGTGTGTGTGTGTGTGCGTATTGTGTGTGCGTATTGTGTGTGCATATTGTGTGTGTGTGTGTCGTGTGTTTCTGTGTGCGTGTGCGTGTGCATGTGTGTTTGTGTGTGTGCGTATTCATTTTCATGTGCTTGTGCGTGCGGGCGTGCCGTGCGTGCGTACATCCGTACGTGCATGAGTGCGTGCGTGGGCGCGTGTGTGCATGTGTTGTGTGTTGTGTGTTGTGTGTTGCGTGTTGTGTGTTGTGGGTTGTGGGTTGTGGGTTGTGGGTTGTGTGTGGCGTGTGGTGTGGTGTGTGGTGTGTGTTGTGTGGTATGTTTGTGTGCTTGCGCTTGTGCGTGTGTGCGTGTGCGGAGTGTCAGAACCATCCTGACGCCAACTATTTTCATGCAGCGGGTACGGCGCCTGATTTTCAAGTCGTGCCAGCGAAGCTACGGAAATCAGGTGGATGAGATGCTGGCCGCAGCATCTTGCGCCTGCCATTTGTGATTCAGAAAGTCCTTTTGGCCCCTTGGTTTCTTCTGCTGCTTGTGCTTCTTGTTGGAACTTGTAATGGTTTTCGGATCGAGAGAGAAGCCACCGTTACTCCAGGGGAAACCGCTGTGTTCGAACATACCAAGCTGAACCCGGCCCAACTCGAAGATTAGCGCTCTCTCTTGGGAATCTATATATATTCCCTGCGTCCAGCGAAACCCTCGGGCGCACCCATTGCGTGGCCCCGGGACGGCTCTGCCGGAAAATTACACCTCAGCGGTTTGGTCATTAACAAAGCGGAATTACACCATTTAACCAGGAACGAGGTTCACTAAGAGGAACTAGAGCGTCATGTTTCTGTTCGTTTGTGTTGTGGTTGGGTTGTGTTTGGTTGTCGTCAACCGCGTGCCCGTGCTCTGGTTATTCGCCTGTGTAGGGATGGCTTCTCCTTCCTCCCGTTCTCTTCTTCATGTCTTTCGTGGCCCGCGTGTTGGTCTTCTTTCTCTTGGCCACTTTTGGGAATGGCCTGTTTGTCTTCGAGCTGTTTGCCTTTCTCGTCGTCTTCTTCCTGTCTGCCTTCCTGTTCCCGCTCCTCGTTCCCCTCACGCAGTTTGGCTTGACGTCTTCTTGCTCTTCCGTTGCTTCCACGTGCTCTTCCTCTTGGCACCTTGCGGGATTCGACGTCCTCTTCTTCGAGGTTTGGTCTTCAACTTCTGGGTTTGTCTGGGCAGGCTTCGTCGCCCTAAATACGCACACTATCCCACCTCCTCTTCTCTTCTCCTTGTCTTTTCTCCTTTTCTCTTCTCCCTTCTCTTCTCCTTTGCTTCTCTTCTTCTCTCTCTTTTCTCTCCTTTTGCCTGGGCGGGATGCGGCGCCCTAAGTACGCACACTCACTCCCTCTCCCTTTCTTTCTCTTTCTCTCTCGCTCTTGTACCCACTACTCATTCTCATTTTCTCTTTTTCTTTCTTCTGTTTCCTTTCTTCTCCTTTTCTTTCTCCTTTTGGCCTACTTCGTGTTCCTCGTTTAGGGATGGCCTCTTCCTCCTTCCGTTCTTCAACTTCGCGGTGGTCTTCGTCTACAAGGTTTAGGATGTTTGCGATGTTTGGGGTTTTGTGGGTGTGTGTGTGTCCGGAGCGTCATAACCACCCTGACGCCAACTATTTTCATGCAGGGGGCACGGCGCCTGATTGCCAAGATTAGCGCCCTGCCTTGGGAGTCTAAGAGTGTGTGTGTGTGTGTGTGCGTGTGTTTGTGTTTGTGCTTGCGTGCGCATGCGCCTGTGTGTGTGTGGGGTGAGTGTGTGTGTGTGTGTCTGTGTGTCTCTGTGTCCGTGTGTCTGTGTGTGTGTGTTCGCGTGCGCGCGTGAGCACGCGTACGTGCGTGAGCGTGCGTGCATGCGTGAGCGTGCGTGCATGCGTGCGCGCGTGCGCGCGTGCGCGCGTGCGTGCGTGCGTGCGTGCGCGCGCGCGCGTGTGTGTGTGTGTGTGTGCGCGCGCGCGTGTGTGTGTGTGTGTGCGTGTGTGTGTGTGTGTGTGTGTGTGTGTGTGTGTGTGTGTGTGTGTGTGTGTGTGTGTGTGTGTGTGTGTGTGTGTGTGTGTGTGTGTGTGTGTGTGTGTGTGTGTGTGTGTGTGTGTGTGTGTGTGTGTGTGTGTGTGTGTGTGTGTGTGTGTGTGTGTGTGTGTGTGTGTGTGTGTGTGTTTGTGTGTGTGTTTGTTGTTGATCCTTTGCCGTATTTGCGTGTTTGTGTGCTTCGGTGTTTGTGCATGTTTGGGTTTGTGTCTCTGTGTGTTTGCATACTGTGTGCGCGTGTCTGTCTTTGCTTGTGATCTTGCATGCTTGCGCGTTTCTGTGTTTATGCTTTTGTGCTTTTGTGTGAGCGTGGTTGTGTTTGTGTGTGTTTGTGTTTGCTGCGTGCTTGCGTGTTTGTTTGTGTTTTGCGTGTTCATGTATGCGTGTTTGGGTGTTTGTGTGCGTGTGTATGTGTGTGTGTTCTTGCGTGTGTGTGTGTGTGTGTGTGTGTGTTTTGCTTGCTTGCTGGATCTTGCTGGTTTGCTTGCTTGTTGATTTGTTTGTTTGTTTGTTTGGGCGCACGTGCTTGTTTGTTTGCGTGTTTGTTTTTGTGTGCTTATGTGATTTTATGTTTTATGTTGGTGTTTGCGTGTTTTGTGTGTGTGTGTTCTGGTCTGTGTGTTGTTTTTTGATGTGGTTTGCTTGCTAGCTGGTTTGTTTACTTGCTTGTTTGCTTGTTTGCTTGTTTGCTTGTTGGCGTGTTTTTTGTTTGTTTGTTTGTGTGTTTTCGCGTTTGTGTTTGTGTTGTTGTTTGTTTGCTTTCGTGCTTTTGCGTGCTTTTGTCTTTTTGCGTGGTTGTGTGTGTTTTTGTGTTTTTGTGTGTTTGTGTGTTTGCGTGTCTCTGTGTTTATGTTAGTGTGCATGTGTGTGTGTGTGCTTATGTCTTCTGTGTTTGCGTTTCTTGCGTGCTTGTGTGTGCGGGGGCTATGTGTTTGCCTTTTGTGTTTGTTTGCTTGCTTGCTTGCTTGCTTGCTTGCTTGATTTCTTGCTTGCTTGCTTGCCTGCGTCTTTGTGTGTGCGTATGTGGGTTTGTGTGTTCGTGTGTGTTTTGGACTGTGCTTCTGTATTTGCGTGTGTGCAAGTGTGGGCGTGTGCGTGTTGTTTGAGTGTGCGTTTTTGTTCGTGTTGTTGTATGCTGGCGGGTTCTGTGTTTTGTTTCGTCTTGAGGAGGGCGCTTCTTGCAGTTCATCTGAAAGGGGCGAACGGGAATCCACAGGTACACCGCTCATTTTGAGAGCTCCCCTGCTTCGAGTCAAACTCACGCGGCACGCCGCTCTGCTGCATGTTGCAGGACTGCGACCTTACTGCGGCAATCGCTTGGAACTGAGCAGGTGACGTTCAATGGGCTTCTCTGCGCGCAAGGAGGGTTCTTGCTCGCATGCGTCATCTAGCCATGTGAGTCTCCTCTGATTTTTCGCTTAACCTCAAAACGGCCGTGACCATCTCCAATGCAAGGCGAGGGCAAATGTCAGAACCCGCACCCCTACTTGCACCGGGTATATATGTGTATATTGATAAATAATTAAATGGGTACTGGAACCTGGGTACCCGCTGCAGTCAGTTTCCACAGCCGCATGAAGGTGGAGTGCCTCAGAGGAACCTGAAAGCTTTACAAGGGTGTTGGCCTTGGCAGCATTGCTCGGCCACGTCATTTTTGGAGTATGTGAGCGGGATCTTGGAAGGACGACGGAGCAGCGGTGGAATTCCAAGTCTGTTTGAACAAGTGGAAACGAGGAATGAGGAACCTCCGCAATAGACAGTAAACTTTTGACACGGCATTGCTGGAGGGAAAGTGGGCGGCTCTCTGGCCCCAACTGGCCCATAGCCTGCAAAGCGAGGACTAGTTTTTTCAGCGATTATTTTATTTGAAGATTGGGTTTGGGAGGGAATGCAAGTGGTTCACCGCATCCTGGCTATTCAGGTTCCCGATGAAGCACGGGGTCGCCAGCGATGAGATGGTGAGCATCATGGACACCATGCTGAAAGTCAGATCTCAAAAGCTCAAAGGGGATAGAATCCATGATCATCTAGTCCAAGCATGTTGCAGCAATGAGTGCAGTGATTAAGGGGCCGAGATTGGGATATGATACATTGGGTTTGAGTGTAATCCATCGGAAGAAACCTAGCTGGTTCCATTGGCTCAGGAATTTATTGACTCCAAAATGGCTGCTCCGGCGGAGCCTTTGTCCTTTGACCCCGCCACTTGGATGCTTCGCATTTCTCATTTCCAACTTTTTGCCGTGCATGGACTCCGGCCGCCACACAAACATAATTTATATTTAGTCCTTTCAATATTGGATAGTGGTAATAAGTTGGGACGCATGGGAGCACATCACACCGGCAAGCTTCGGATAGTTTGGGTGTAGATAATTTGGGGTGATTGCCTGGGGCCTGCGGAAACAAAGCCCTGTTTGTCGTACGCTGTGCCAAAGCGCGGAGAGCAGGGACAAGAAGCGAAGGGAGCGCTTTGCGCAAGGAACATGAAGTGAAGGCATCCTTTAAAGTCACACAGACTCGTACCAGTTAAACTTAAAGGAACCGGGCCAGCCTCCGTTCCAGACATTTGGAGCACGTTTGGAACACAGGATCCAAAATGGGCTGCGGCTCGTTCCACCTGTTCCGCCATGGCCAGGTATTGCGGCGCACGCTCTGCCAGGTGATTGCGAGAGGTTGCCATGCGACAATCCACAACTGTTGCTGCTAACGCTGAGCGGTTTCTTGGCACCTACGCTCTTATGTAGAAGCAGCAGTGTTCTACTTCTGGGACCTTGTTCAATTGAATATGCCAACCGTTGCTTGTTCCACATGAGCAAGCAAGCAAGGGTGCCTTTGAGAATCCCGAAATGGTCAGCCTACCCTTTGAACAGCCCCAAAAGCCAATTTGTTGATGGTAGGTCATGTGTCCTGGGTGGAAAGAAGGGTTATGCGTGTTGCTCTTCAAACAGTTCATCGCGCAAATAACTGCCTGTGCTCCCAATGCTCGGTTTCAAGTGGGCGTATCCCCATGTTGCGCTTTTTCTTTATGGCTGTTTGCAACAGACGTTGTTTTTTTATTGTTTTTGTGTGATGCGAGGTTACCTGATGCACTCAAACGTCAGGCATGCGCATTCGGGGTGTGCACCTGTCAAGGCAGAGATCAGCCGGGAGCCGGCCCCACCGCCCGAAGCTGCGCCGGTGATGAACTCTGACCAGGGTGCGCCGGGAATGGTGCCTTGGTGAAGGTTCGGCGTCATTGGACTGAGAGTGGGGGATTTTCCTGTCATTTCCTGTGAATGACTGCTTCTCCCGTTGACGAGTGGCGGGCTCAAAGGCCGTGTTGTTTTCATTCAAACGCGTTTGTGTGCCGAATTTCTTGAGAATCATTGTTTCACAGAATGTTCATTCACCTGTGTGGGTGTCCCCCTCGCGCGGTTGGGGCAGGGGTATTGACGTGACTTGCACTCCGTTGATTCAGGCCATTGGCTTGACATTGACAGCTTTTTTGAGCGCAAATCAAGCTGTTGCTTTTGTATGGAGTGATGCTGCTGATGGTCAAATTGGGATTCCGATGGCAGGGTCGATCAGGGTTTCACGAGGACCCCCAAGTCACCCTGGACTTGCTGAACGACGAGGACATCGCAGAGGCCGCCAAAGACCCTGAGGGCATGGCAGTCATTCAGGATGTTGCTTGGCCGACAAACGCATTGGCAGACCAGGTCCTAAGATTGCGGCACGTTCCTGGTGATTGGCCTTGAAGAGACCGGCATGCCCACAGAAGGCTGATTCTAAGGTGATCATGGACCCTACCAACATCAGGTTGCACAAGGACAACCCCAGGGTGGCAGGGCTCGTGGCCAAGCTTGCGCCTTGGCTCGTGTGACGGCGCTGGTCAGGTTGTGACCTTGCGGGAGCCGAGGAAGCCATCTTGGCCAAGGCCCGTACGTGACATCGTGGCGCTGGAAAAGAGCTCGACACCGATGGATGCAACGAATGCTGAACCTTGTGTTTTGCAGGTGCTTGGTGTGCTACATTGAAGCCATTTTCCGCCCAAGACTATGAACATCTACGAACACAACCGCTTGCAGTCCTTACAGCATGAGAGCTGGCCATTGCGCATGGCCAAGGTGAGTCATGCAGCTTGACTCTGCAAGGTTTATCCGAGCGTCGCGATGCATAGCCATGCGCGGGAAAAGTGCCACTTGGAAGCGTTGCTGTACTGCGTCTTTGACAAGGAGCGGCCCTCTCTTGCAGACATGCTTCAACCCAGGTATTTGTATGAGGCCTGCCTTGCTGTTAACATGGATAGGACCTTACGAGTTTGCTAGGTCATGCCTTCTTTGGAATTTGTTCGAGTCAGGATGCAGGGCCGATTGTCCAATGTGCCGATCCCGTGGGCGCAGCCACGACCGAGTTTCAGCTTGTGGGCCGCCGCCTCAGAAAGCCCAAGCACCCGGGGCTGCCAGCACCCGCAGGGGCCACGGTCGGAACTCCCTTCTGGGTTTCGGTGGAATGGATGGCTGCAGAGATGCTGGTTGGACAGCCAAGGGCTCTATTCAGAGACTGAGCGCTCTGCGCCATTCCTTTCGAAGGGTTTTTACCTTGGCTCACGAGCGAAAGCTACGCACCCAATGCACTTTCAGAGATAGGCAAAACACGGACCTCGTTACTTACTAATGTTTGTGGACGGCCTATGAGGCTCACGTGCTGCACTTGTTGGAAAGCCGCTTGCGGTTAAGTAGTTAGGCTCCCACCAAGCACATCACTCCTCATCTTGAAAACCGGGCCATTCACCCTGACGCCAACGACAGAGTGAATCTTCACTGAATCAGCCAGCTGAACCGAAGGCCACTACCTGATCCCGGACTCTGTGGTCCAGGAGGGGGGATCCTGGCGACTTGCTCAGGAATCCTGTGGGCAGGTCAGCTTCACTCAACCCTTCGTGAATTTCATTCCGAATTTCCTGAGAAAGCCGGATTGGTTACAACAATATCCTGCTTCCTGACTATCCTTGGCTGCAGTGACCATTCTCGCTGCTTTCCTCCTACCTCTGCAGGGCACACGACCTTGCTGGTGTGCCCAAACTTGCCGATTTTCCGAGTGCCTCTGGCAGGGCAGAGTGGTCTCTGTGGTTTGCGGCGACCATGCGCCTCAGATCGGATTGGGGGAGTGGAGGACTTTTGCAGAATGGCGGATGCCCAAATACGAATCAAGTTGTATACCTAGCATACCTGGTCCTTCCATTTAGGAAGAAATGCACATGGGCCATTCTAAGGCTTTGCCTCAGCTGCAGCAATGTTCGGGTGGGAAATGTGACAACCCCGGGCATGCTGCAATAGAAGATTGTTTTCAGCGACATTTCAATGACTTGCTCCATTCCCATGTTCAGATTTAGTCCGCCACCCGAAATGACCCGCTTAACGTGTAACAGGGCCAAGAGTGGCCCAGGTAATGATGGGCACACCCGTCTACATCGAGGACTGCCCTTGTTCGCGATTTGCTGATGCCTTTAGAGCCTTTGCTCTCTTGAGGGGGGGGCCAAAATGGATAGCTGTGCGAAGAGGCTTTGCCCCCGTGCTTGATTAAATATTTTCGGCATTTCTGGGATTCTTCCGATGCTTTTAGCCACCCTTTTTTCAAATTGTGGTCAACACAGGTGACGTGAATGCGTTGTCAAAGGCTGTTTCCTGAGGATTGCAAGCAGAATCACCGGCTTTCATGAGCTGGTATACGCATAGGGTGGCTGTGAGGACAATAGCTACTTTCGGAACTGCTTCCAGTTCAACATATGCATGGCACCTGCCTGAGGACGCAAGCCGATTTTTCAAGCAGACAGACACAGGTGAGGTGACTGCCCGAGTTTGAGCAATTGTTTATTGATCAAGAGGTTCGACAATAAGCTCATGCCCAGCCAAGAGCTGCTAAGCACTGCTCCCCCTTACCTGCAGTGGAGTGGGCCTGGGTGGGGGGCTTGGAGGGCACAAGAACACCCGCGCCAATGGACACTCAAAAGCGCATTTGTTTGCCAAAAGGAAGTGGCTGAATCATCCCAGGAATCAGGCCTAATCACTACCCAGCTTTTGCAATAGGCCATATCGGTCCTTGAGAAACTTGAAAGTCTCTGCGCGACAAGTCAGCCTCCGCTTCAAAAGATGATCAAAGCTCAAGTTTGGTTCCCCTTGCCAAAAGCCGAATTTCTTCCCTGCGAGGACGCTTCCAGATAGGTAGGCTCGTGCCAGGAACGGCCAGACCCGTTGTGACGCAAGCACCCCCCCCACTGTCGTCGACAACTTTGAGACCCCACCCTGGGCGAAGTACCGGGTGACATTGTGCAGCAGATGAAGGAAGCAGCTGACTGATGGTTCGACCCATCAAGCAGTCTACTCTGAGGATAGATTGTCCAAGGTGCTCCTTACATCGAGTCTGTTAAACTGTACCGTGCAATCAATTCGCTCAGACGACCCTGACCGATTTCCGAGGTCATTGATGCCACCAGGCACCATGAGCCTTACCGTGACATCGCACAGTTGCTGGCCCCGCACTCAAATGCGTCATTGCTTGGGTGGATTGGCTTCAAAAAAGAGGGTCGCTGGTGATTCTTCTCGCGTTCTTCGCTGTGGGCAGCATGGGTTGGGGAGTTTGGTTTCAACATGCTTCAACATGTTGCTTGCCCGAGCGTTGCATGTGTGTTCGTTCAGTGTTGCGCGGCGAAAGAGGCTGGGCACAGTCTCAGTGGCAACTCCAAAGTGGTGAGCCCTCATCAAATCCTGAGCACTCTTGCAAGGTTCAACATGTTCAACTGTTCAACATTTGTTTTCCGTTGCACCTCTGGATTCATGAGCCGCTCATACCACCAAGCCTGTAGTCTTGAAACGCATGCCTCATCATGTTGCATGCTTCTCTTGGCTGCAAGCTTCTTTTGTCAGAGGGGGTGAGTCACCTCGGAAAGTAGCGGGGAACTGAAAGGACGCACGGTCTGGCGCCTTTCCTTTTGGAGGGGTATTTATTTTAGGTGTTTTTTTTTGGATGCCTTTTTTTTTTTTTTTTCGCTTTTGGCTTCTTGGCTTTTTCGCTTCTTGGCTTCTTGGCTTCTTGGCTTTTCGGCTTCTCGGCTTCTCGGCTTTTCGGCTTCTGGGCTTCTTGCCTTTTTGGCTTTTTGGCTTCTTGGCTTCTTGGCTTCTTGGCTTTTCGGCTTCTTGGCCTCGGCTTCTGGGCTTCTGGGCTTTTCGGCTTTTTGCTGGCTTTTCGCATCCTCTGCATTCCCAGTTCCTCTTCGGCAGGTGGTGTTTTGGCTTTTGCGGCTTTTCGCTGGTTTATGCGGCTTTTGGCGGCTTTGGCTTTTCGCATCCTTCGGGCTTTTTGGCTATTGGTTTTTGGATTTGGCTTCCCGCATCATCAGCATCACTACCACCGTATTTGAATCATCACTTCTTCGGACATCATGGGGGGGGAACTCCCCCCGTGGCAGGGAAGAATGAGTCCTATGCGTCGCCGCGCGTTTTTTTTTTCTCATTTGAGCACCACGTCATGTTACATGCTCATGCACTCACACGCACACCAAGACTCTATTCCCACATGGTGCTACAGAGATAATATGCACTTACCATGCACAAGGATACTGCTGAATAAACAGACACTTGGTCCAAACATGTGTGTTGCTTCTCGTGCGCATGTTTCAATTTCAATTTCATGACCAGCAAAGGAATTGCAAGCACGCAGGTAAGTAATATTGTCCGTGGCCAGACACAGCGCACAGGCGTGCAGCTAGGTTTGATGTCAGGAGACTGACAAAGGCCACAGGTGCACAACTAAGTCCTGTTTGCTAATTATTCTACTTATCATCAGTCTTCTAATTCATTCTTATCATTCTTCCCAAAGGGACGGGTGACTTTTGGGGAATTCCATTTTTTGTTCGAATCATTTTATTTCTTAGACTTGTTCTAAGTCTTCGAACCACTCCCAAAGGGACGGGTGCCTTTTTGGGGAATTCAAGAGCCCTCTGTGCTAATTTTTCTACTTGTCATCAGTCTTCTAATTATAGTTGTTATTCCCAAAGGGACGGTGCCTTTGGGGAATGGAAGATTGGTTTTGCAAATTATACTACTTAGCATACCTCTTCCAACTGTTTTTCTCATGAGTTCCAAAGGGATGACTTTGGGGAATTCAATATTCATGTTTGTTGGGTGTTTTTGTAAATTATTCTACTTATCATTACTCTTCTAATGCGTTCTTATCATTCTTCCCCAGGGGCGGGTGTCTTTTGGGGAATTCCAAATTCCTTTTTGTTCTAATCATTTTTATTTCTTAGACTTGCTCCAAGTCTTCGAGCCACTGCCAAAGGGACGGGTGCCTTTTTGGGAATTCAAGAGTCCTCTGTGCTAATTTTTCTACTTAACATCAGTCTTCTAATTATAGTTGTTATTCCCAAAGGGACGGTGCCTTTGGGGAATGGAAGATTGGTTTTGCAAATTATACTACTTAGCATACCTCTTCCAACTGTTTTTCTCATGAGTTCCAAAGGGATGACTTTGGGGAATTCAATATTCATGAATGCTGTTCGTTTTTGTAAATTATTCTACTTATCATAACTCTTCTAATTCATTCTTTCTTATCATTCTTCCCAAAGGGACGGGTGATTTTTGGGGAATTCCAATATTGTTTGTTTTAATCATTTTATTTCTTAGACTTGCTCTAAGTATTCGAACCACTGCCAAAGGGACGGGTGCCTTTTTTGGAATTTAAGAGTCCTCTGCGCTAATTGTTCTACTTATCATCAGTCTTCCAATTGTAATTGTTATTCCCAAAGGGACGGTGCCTTTGGGGAATTGAAGTTTTTGCAAATTATACTACTTAGCATGCATCTTCTATCTTTTCTTCATGAGTTCCAAAGGGGGACGGGTGACTTGGGAAATTCAATATTCATGTTTGTTGGGTGTTTTTGTAAATTTTTCTACTTATCATTACTCTTCTAATTCATTCTTATCATTCTTCCCCAGGGGCGGGTGTCTTTTGGGGAATTCCAAATTCTTTTTGTTCTAATCATTTTTATTTCTTAGACTTGCTCCAAGTCTTCGAGCCACTGCCAAAGGGACGGGTGCCTTTTTGGGAATTCAAGAGTCCTCTGTGCTAATTGTTCTACTTAACATCAGTCTTCGAATGATAATTGTTTTTTCCCAAAGGGACGCGTGCCTTTGGGGAATTGCAGATTGGTTTTGCAAATTATACTGCTTAGCATACCTCTTCCAACTAGTTGCTGGCGGTTGCCGCAGTCGCCTGGGCACGAAATGCTTTGCCACCATCTTTACCCATTTTCTGCGGGGGAACGGGGGTGGTGGGGTGGTGGGGGAAATTAATTCCGATACCGCCACCTTCCATTTTGCGCGCACAAACGCGCATGCCTGTGCACATGGTTCGATGACCGCCTCGGCCTCAAGCACGCGCGCACAGACATACATCTGACAAGCTTGCTGGCGCACGCCTCTGTTTTCTTTTAACGGTTTCCAGCATCGTGCCGAAGGGTGTCCACCAACATGTTGCAGCTAGAGCCGTCATGGCTCACGGGCAGCATTGCTCGCAAGATTTAGTTCTTCCTCTGACCCATGTGTTGCTTCTCCGTATATCGGGCCATGTGAGCCCGCACAAAGACCTGGTCCCCTTCTACACATGTTCCGGGCAGGAGCTTGACGCGCTACACGAAGAAGCTAGCTTGCGTTTGGCAAGATGTTTCACGATGTCACAAAGTATGTTTTTAGGGGCTTTGGAATAGTTCATTTCCAATCTGATTTTGGCCACTACAGGTGATTTGCGGTTCTCTCTGCAGGATGATGTGTTGGGCTTTGTACAGCAAACATCTTTGATTGAGATCAGGTCCCCTCTGCCTTATTCCATGCTCACGAAACACTTGCAGGTGCTTCAATGCCAGTGAGTTGAATATCTGCACATTCTTGTGCCAGCACGTGGCCGCAAGCATGTGCTATCTGGGATGGCGAATGGCTCGTGGGCAGCCTTTGGCAGTGTTGGATGAAACCGGCCATGTATTCAAGTTTTGGATTCCCCGGAAGTTGCTCGCGCCTTTGATCGATTGCAAGGCGTGATATGTGTAGACACGCCAGACCGCCCAGCTCAGATGCCCTAAGCATGGCTCCGGGAACACCGTCAGCTGCCCTGCGTCCAAGCGATGGAAACATGATCTACTGGCTGCCGCGCATCCGCAGAGCGTGGGATCTTCTGGCTCTCTGGGACAGATGCCCGAGCAGGCTCCGCCTCTGTCAACAAGGCTGGCGCAGGCAGTGTCGGACAGGCCGGCCCGCCAGTTTCGATGGGGCTCCTGCCCGCATCACTGTGTTTGCTTCCGGCCGCAACGCTGGTCGAGCTGTCTTGCTTTTTGAATGCAATTTCAATCTTGGTTGTTCTTGGTTCGGTATGTCATGAGTGCAACAGCTGTTTTGTTAAAGCCCAGCCATTCTCAGGCTATGCAACCGCTTCTGGAAAACAGGGGATGATGGCAGACGGTCTTGCTGGTGGTTTAAGATGGCCTCGCAGCAGCAGATTCGAGACTTCCCTAAGCACCTTCGAGAAGAGTATGCATGCTTGTGGGCCGGCTTCCAGCGCAACCGCGCTGCTCCGAAATGACACAGGATCAACATAGCCCTGCTGACAAAAAGCGCAGCCTGCAAAGCATTTCAAATGTTTGCGCGAGCCACTAAGCATTGCAAGTGTTGATTCGAGCCTTGCGTCATGTAGTTTTGGCTTAGGCTGTCCTGCTTTCTTGCAGGCTATAGGCTGCTTCGCATGCCACGCAAGTCCGTGGCCTCTTGGGGCAAAGGCGGCTAGAATGCTCAACATCCAGAACTACACAGTCAAGCACCAACACAGAGAGTTTGTGCGAGAGCTGCGGGAGATTGTGCCTCGAAAGCTCAGCAGAATAGCTGGCACGCAGCAAATCGACCGCGCTTGGCTGGGCATGAAGGGCTTTGTCTTTTCCAATCTTCATAGGCGAATGAAAACAAAGCATGGCTCGACTGTGAATCCGCACTTGAAGCTCCGTGTGATGCAGTACGTGTGGCGGTGCGGCCTAGGCAAACGCACTCCGGAGGAGTTCTTGCATGAGTTTGCAACCGGTAAAGCACAGAAGGTGTGGCAAGGGAAAAAAATGCTGCTGCGTACTTAGTTTTCAAAGGCCTTGAAATGAACCGCGTTCATGTGTGTTTGAATCTCTAGGGTGATTCGCATGTGACGGACCACTTTGAAGCCAGGCGACCAGTGCTAATTGCTCTACTTCTCATCAGTGTTCTAATTATACTTGTTATTCCCAAAATTATTCTGCTTGTCATAGCTCTTCTAATTCGTTCTTATCATTCTTCCCAAAGGGACGGGTGTCTTTTGGGGAAGTCCATTTTTTCTAATCATTGTATTTCTTAGACTTGCTCTAAGTATTCCAACCACTGCCAAAGAGGCGGGTGGCTTGTTGGGAATTCAAGAGTCCTCTGTGCTAATTGCTCTACTTACCATCAGTCTGCTAAATATAATTGTT